GGAAAAAAAAAGGCAAATATATTGTAGTTTGTATCTCTACAAAGTAATGGTTGAATTATAGGAAATCTTTAATCCCGGTAATTTTTGTACTTCAGTTTATGTTTAAAAATATCATTTTCATAAACTTTAAAATCGTGTATAATCATGTGCAAAAATAGAAATTTTGACTATATTTAATAAATGAACTTTTGGTAAAAAAAAAAAAAAGCCAGAAATGCTTAAACCTCTGCGTAACAAGCGCTGTTGAGTGTTGATATCTTATCCTGAATAATGTACAAAGTAAGCATCTATTATTTAATCTACATCAAAATCAGTATTGGTAAACATCATGAGGGCCTTGAATTATAAATGAGTATGGTAAGCCATATTGCAGATAGTGACTTATTAGATTTACTTAATGTCATTTTTTTCATACTTGTTTTTATAATTCAACTGTAATTATTTTGGTAAAGAATGGTATATCCTTAATTGTTTTGGTCAAGCTCAGTGAGCTGTTTGTTGATTTTTCCAAAAATCTATGTGTATATTTATAATTATATTATTTTTCTCTGTGTTCTTTTTCTATTTCAGTGTTGGTTACTCATGACAAAAATAAAGAAATGCCCCAGAAGATGATAATGGATGCACCAGTCTCATTTGCCTACTACCCAACAGCTTTGATAAGCTGTGTGATATCTTCATTACTGTTCCAGTATTGTGGGAAAATACTTGCCAAGTATATGAACCAGTTTTCCAAATCACCGCTCCATGTTCAGATTGAACTCCAAACATTGTGAGTATTACATCAGTGTTGTTCCATGATATATCCGAATGGTTTTGCAAAAAGAACTCCTCTTTACAGTAGTTGAAGCACCTGTCCCCTAAGAGTCAATATAAAATTTGCCTTATAATTCTTCAGACTTTTAAAATAATATTTGTATTACTGCATTATAGGTATCATTTGTAATGTTATTGTATTTTGAAGTATAGAGAGATGTCCAAGGTAACATCTCACCATTTACTGGTAGAGCTCAATAAATTATAATTAGTTTCTTAACTCATTTACTTGTAGAGCTCAATATATTATAATTATTTTCTTAACTCACAATCTGGTACAACATGTTTGATAAAATAAGTGGTTGTGTTTTCTTAAATTAAAACAAAAAATGAAATGCATAGCTGCATAACTAGAAGTGTTTATATACAGTATGCATACTTGTTTCACAGAGGAGATATGTTTTATTTATAGTGTATGACTTGTACATAACGTACGTGGGAATTAAGTGCAGTATACTGTTTAAGATATTTTTGATACCCAATAACCCTCATGACATGGCATGAAGCCAAATAAAACCTGAATCCCCGTTGATCTTATTGTTTGTCAAGTATAAACACTAATATGATAGTGCTCTGTTGAAAACAATTCAAAGTTCAACAGCTTTGCTCCCAGGCTGTTTTATATATTTTAGATTGTGTCCTGATATCTATTTCCCTTATATATATATATATATATATATATATATATATATATATATTTGTAAAACCTGTAGGTAAAACTAAGTTCAGTTCAATTATTGTTTTTCGTTGTCTTTCCTCTTTAATTATTAACTTTTTTTAAATGTGTTCTCATATTTATGTGCATATAACATAAAATTGTTTTAAGTACTAGTAAGTTGATCTTAGAATAGCACATGTTGATCCAATGTTTTTTTTCCACTTCTACACTTCATCAATTTATGCAATACCAAGTCATTCAGTTTGGTACGTCTACATGTGATGATTTCTTAGTAACCTAATCTTCTTATAATTTAAACTGCTGATTAAGCTAGGCTTTGATTAGTTTTTGAAATGGCATAGTTTATTGAATCCACTTTGACATTTAAGGTTTATAGTGCAGCTGTTATTAACCCAAACAAGTATAATTATTAAGTCCATAGGATTTGCAAAATTGGATGAAGTAGGGATTAATGTTAATGCTAAAACTGAAAAATAGTAACAGGTGCATTTCCACATTTGCTGGCTCTGTTATTTTTATGAACTTAATATACAGGAGTTGGAAAATCTTGTTGTTGTATATCAGGTGTGCATCCAAGTTTGTGTTTTTTCAGTAGACTGTATCTGTCAGACAGTGTAGGGCTTAAATAATATGAAGGAAAACAATGTCACAGGTCTATTTCTTTATATAAATTTGCAAGTCCAAGCAAAGTGTTTTAAATTCTTGTCCGTAACTTGAATAAACCATTGCCTTCATACTTCCCCTCCTCCTATTACAGTACGTATTTTTGTAATGAGAAAGAATGAAATTAAACAAATCCTTTTAATGTTTGCAGATTTGTATCTGGAGTCCATGCCATAATTGTGTCATTTAGTGGCCTTTATGTCCTGCTTACAGATGAGAGGACAATGAAAGATTCAGTGTGGTAGGTTCTTTTATATACATTAGAATTTAGCAAGTCACTCTGATGTTTTTTTCCCCACTTTTCTTGAAGTCTTGTGTAGGGAAAGTTATTCCATAATGAATCATATTATCATATATTTCCTACAGAATGACAATGCCCTTGACAACAAAAAATTGTGTATGGATGGATGTGAAATTTCACAGCATTGCCGTGAGATTAGAATCGATAAAAATGTGATTGTATTAATTTTTTTTCTAATGCAGGGGTGACTGCCCACAGGTTCGTCATACTTGTGCCATAGTAGTTGGATACTTGGTCTCAGGTAGTATCATATGACCAGTACCAGTTATTGTTATAAGTAGTCAAATGTAAAAAAAAAGAGAAATAAAAAATTTTAGTGTGAACTCTCAATTGAAATATATGGTATTAAAGCCAAAAAGGTTCAATATTATGTTTTGAAATGTACAAAATATTCAACCAGTTCTAAGTACTAGTATATTTATATTGTCTTTTAAAACTCCTGTTTTATATTTTTCAGATTTTATCATAATGATCATTTATTACAAAGAAGTTGGAGGGTATTTCTACTTTATTCATCACCTTGCGTCCATATATGCTTATGTATATGTCATAGTGAGTATGCCATTTTTGTTTCAATTATTAAATGCATATAAATTACTGATATAATTTGGCATATTTACATAATAAAATTAAGAAATGCCCACTTATGTTGTGTAAAACTTTTTTTTTCAAAGTTAATTCTACATTATACCCTTGTATTAAATGAAAAAAAAAAAACTTGTCCAGTTTGTGGAAACCTGTTGAAGTCAGCTGTTGTATACGATTTATTGCTTGTAAAAGCCATTCATTTTGTTAAGTAGTTTAACATTTGCTCAGTATATTTGGAATGTATTGTGGTTATGAGTTCACACGGGTTTTGGTTCTTCTGACTCATGATGTAAATGGAATATACATTTATAATATTTATAATATTGAGCAGAAATACCTGATATGTAAAATGTCAAATGCTTGCGTAACATGCAATGCATGTTAGTTAATGACGTTTCTAAAATGAAAAAAAGGTTTGTCGTTACTTACAAAGACATCTTTACATCTCTTTTTAATGTATGAGACTTATACCTGCTCAAAAATAATTGACTTTATATCTACTCTTTTTAGACCTTCGGAGTATTGGAGTTCTTTGCCAATTTTCGTCTTCTTGCCGAATTTTCAACACCATTTGTAAATATGAGGTAAACTGTTTCTACATATCATAGTACATATTTTAAATCAAAATATTTGATTTACAAACATCATTTGGAAAATTAAATACTTCACTTTGTTACTTTTAAAAAGTATTTGCAGAGTTTTGCTTTGTCTGTTTTTCACCTTCAACTCGTAAATATGATGTTAATTTATAGGCAGAGAATAACAAACTTGAGCTGTTGAAATAAAATGTTTGTATCACGCTTTTTTCGTAATAGGAGATTTTTGGAAGTAGAAGGCTACCCCAAGTCATCCAAACAGGTTTTGGTGAATGGCTTTTCCATGGTGATCTTCTTCTTTGTAACACGAGTAGCTGTCATTCCGCCCTATTACTGGATGGTGTATAGTATATATGGCACCCCAGCATACGAGAGCATAGGCCATGTCCAGTACGTTCTGGTTGGCTCTTGTGCTGTTCTGGACATCTTAAATGTGATTTGGTTCTTCAAGATGTGTAGAGGTGCTCACAAAGTTTTGAAATCACAGAAATTAAGACAGAACAATATTGAAGATAGGAAAGCTGCGTAGCTGACAATATAAAGTATTTGCTTGAAGGAAAAATGGTATTGATTGTTATCTCACTGTGATTTATATGTACATGTATCATGCCTAAAGAATTGGGTACATTGGAGTATTAGGCACTTACAATTTTTTTGTGCAATTGAAGCTTTTGTTCCACAATAGTAATGAAATCAGGAATATACTGATGCCTCATCTTATAATATAAAGCTATGGACTTTGTTGTTTGCAAAAAACAATGCAACACAATTTTAATATCTTATTGCTGACTAGTAAATGGAAAAAAAGAAGGTTGATGACTCTTGTATGTTTTATCCCAGAGAACTCTGTACAGTGCAAAGCATTTTAAAAGCTTGAGACATTATACTTCACAAGATGACCTCTGTTCAGTCTGCAATTGGTTATAGAACTAGGAAACAGTTCTTGAGGCTTGTCTATGCAAATGGGTAAACTAACAGGAGTTGTGGAAAAATGTAATCATTTTATTTCTCTTTTATTATAACTTCAAAAAGCATTGTTAATGTAAGTGAAACTGCCACCTTCCAACTGGAAAGTTAACCTTCCTGCACATTTTTGACAATCAGTATGTGGTTTATTTCACAAATCGAGAAGTATTTTCAATAGGAAATAATTAGAATAATTAAAATGTGTGTATTAATTATAGTTATGTTGACAACCTTGTTTATTTAAAAGAAAGTAATTTTATTTTCCTCTAGCCAATCAAAACTTTTACAAGTAGTGTATAATTAGTAATAATTTATGGGATTTAACTTTTACAAGTAGTGTATAATTAGTAATAATTTATGGGATTTGGGTTTATTTCTTATAGCTGTTCAAAACTTTTTGCAAGTATTTACTTTAAAATTTACCTATGGAATGTTTAATGATACTGTATAAAACAAGTATTAGGTATATATACCAGTATATAAAAGAGTAGTGCTGATAACTGTAAAAAAATGTGACCAATGACTCATATAATGCAGATGAAATCTTTCAATTAAAATTAAAAGATATATCATTTCACAAATCTTGTAACTTAGTAGACTGCCATTTTTGAGAATGGTAAAATTCATATGTTAGTCAACTTACATGTTTGTCACTGGTGTCATTGTGTGAGTTGTCACTAATTTGGCGTATTACAGTATACATGTACATGTACCTCAGTATGAATAATAATGATTAAATGGGACATCCAGTCATAGGTTTAGGAATCTCTTTCTATTGCAAAACCAAGTTGTTTACAAATTGTTTTTTAAATAACCAAGCAAAGTATATACATCATATCAAAACCCTCTATTTATTTTAAAAGATGTGCACATAGATCTACCAATTTTGTACTGTTACATTCACAATTGAGAAAGATAAAAATAAAATTGATGAAAAATCACCTTGACATTTGTGATCTGTGTTTAATTCAGAATAATGTGTAACAGTGGTCTATATTTATAAAATAAACACTGACAGTTTTGTTGGAAGTGCTGAAGTTTATTACATCTGAAAGTGTAAAAAATGTCATTCCAAGACACATGACCATCATCTTTCCAACAGTATGACACACCAACCACTCTTAAATAGTAAAGATAACTTAATTGAGCAAATGAAATAAAAATATGATTAAAGTGTACCTTTACTAATTATGGTGAAACAATTTTAAAATCTGCATCTACACTAACATGTACATATTAATTTAACAATTCATAATAAGAAGTATAACAGTTACGCTAACTCTCATTGATTTTCCTTTCAAAGCATTTATCATATCCTTTACCAAAGAAGTTGCTACATAATTAATGTTTAAAAACCGGTGACTTTGTAAGCCCATAGGGCTGGGTTGTTACATATATATTCACATTATTGTATTATGTATTATATTTGTATATATTCGGCATTGTCAAGAAAATAAATCAATTTAACTAACTAACTAACTAAAATATGTGTATCTTGATTGAAAATAATACTGCTTTGCTTGTCTATATGGAGGAGAAGTCCAAAGTCTTATGGTACCCTGAAAGATAGTGGTTTCCTGATACTACATGTACTATCTACAAGGCTGCTTCAACTCTAATAGAAGAACAGTGGACCACAAAGTTTTGGACTTCAACAAGAGCAATTGAGGTGGATTTACCTTGAGGCACAATTAATGCCCTGGTTTTCCTTGCCACAGGAGACAAGGGGCATCATTTTCGATGAGATGCAGGTATAAATTTCACTTAATAAACATGTAAGCAAATTTAATTATTGATAACAAACTCTATATAACAATGATATTGTACGCTGGCAATTTTGTGGTCAAACAAAGCAAGTTTTGCATATATACATAAATAAACAAAGATTCAAATATATACATAAGTAAAAAAAAAACATTTTAAATTTTTTTCAAAATGGCACCCCTAATGAGTCTTCAGGCTTAAATGTACATAGACTGTAAAAATGTTATCCTTTACCAAGTCTTGATTAGTATATATGCTAGTGTCCATCCCTCCTCCTGCCTTCAATTTTCATAAAAAAATAGTGATACCACAATACAGTATATCAGTGGTAAAAAAAGGGACCCTGACAATGTACATAGTGACAGCTTCCGTCTAGATAAAGGCATCAGACAAGGATGCATTCTTTCTCCTCATACTCAGAACAAATTATGAGAGAGATGGACATCAAAGAACTAGGTGTTATAACTGGACGAAAACGAATGTCAAATATGTGTTTTGTAGAAGATACAGTGCTTGTAGAGGACAGACAAGAGAGGATAGGAGAATTTTGTTGAAAAAGTGGACACAGCTGGAAGGAAAAGGCACCCAAACATGAATGCAAAGAAAATGTAATCAATGACAGTACGAGGCAAGAAGGCAGAAATTAAGTCCATCTTAACATTTTAAGTATTTGGGTGCTGTAAAAATGGTCTATGGAAACTCAACAAAGTATGTTAAAATGAGAATCGGAAGGGCAAAAGGTGAGGGCCAAAACAAGTGAACTTGTTAATATCTGGAAGGACAGAAGTATCCCAAGTGTTAAAGGTGAAATTTGTTAAGACTTTGATATGGCCAGTGCTCAAGTACAGGTGCAAAGGTATAAAAAAAAAAAAAAAAAAAAAAAAAAAAAACGAATGACAGTGCAGTGTTTTTGAGGAACTCGTACTTAATCATGAATTAATGAACAAGACCAAAGCAAGGAAGTTTGTTTTTTTGGGTCACCAGCTGTGAATGAAAAAATCAGACCCAATTATATCAACATTTCAAAACATCCCAATAAATAAATAAATAAGGAAGACCAGTTCACATACAAAAATGGACAAGAAAAAGTTCCAACAGATGACTGTTGATAGAAGCAAATGATGTGATTGGATATTGAAATTTTGAGCATTATCACTTTTAAAACACTACTAAGTAAATACTAACCATGGTCTATCAGTTTATTCAAAGAAACAAAAAAAAAAAAAAAAAAAAAAAATCAGATTCAGATGGATAAATATTTGGAATTTTGCAAAAATATTTTTTTAAAAATGAATGGTAAATGAATTTGAAACCATGTACTGAATAAAAGATTATAACAAGTTAACTGAATGATTTTTCTTCTTTTCATAAGATGAACGGTGCCCTTGATACTCCTCTGCATTTCTTTTTCAGATGCCCCTCACTCAATTTAAGGTACCCTCCCCTCTACCCAAAAATAAATGAAATACTACATGAACGTAAGACCTCTTTTCAAACACAAAAAGAAGTTGTCACTATTTCTCTATGGTCATGGATCTCTATAAACTACCCAAAATGAAATGATCTTCGAAACTATTGCAAATTTTCTACTCGAAAACCTTGGCATCACTCAATAAGTACTATCTGTTCTCTACTTGACCTAACTGATTTCATTTTATAATTTCATGTAATTTTCTTTGTTATTAATGTAATCCATATTGTATTTAGTGGTGTTGTATACGTAAATTAGTTACGATCCTTTTCTTCTCAATTTTCTTTTCTTTTTTTCTGTATTTAATAATTTCTGGTAACTTTTGTGTTTCAATACTGAAATCTTTGAAGTTTATATATATATATATATATATATATATATATATATATATATATAAAATGGTAGAGCACTTTTTCATAGTGTATTGACTTTATTCTCCGAGATATACAGGCTCCATTTTTGTTGAGCACTCTACTATTCACTATGGAAAGAATGAACTTCGGCTATTCTCTCAAGAATATACCTCTAGCTGACCATAAGGAGTACATAAAAAGACTGATCGAAAAAACGGAAGATGTGATAAAAAGAATGCGATGGAAGGCGTTTTTCTATCTACAGCCAGAACAAGCTCCCGACTCTAAAAAGGAAACATATGGCTTTAAATCCAGGAATACTCCACCACAAATTGAGGAACTTAAAAAGTTTGAGCAGGACTTACTACGTATGATAGAAAATATAAAATTTAGAAAAGTAAAATGTCAATTTCAATCTAAACTCAATGAAGATGTCAAAATGATAAATACATCCGATAAACTCTTGATACCCGCTGACAAAACAAGCAATTATTACAAAATGGATGTAAGTGACCGCGAAAAACTGCTCCGAGATAACACCACTGCTAAATATAGCAGAGCACCAGATGAAACTAAAAATAAGATCAACAACGAAGCTAAACTCATCGCAAGCGAACTTGAGTTAGATGACAGCATTGAGATCCAAGGTGAGAATGAAGCTTTTATCACAGTAAAAGACCACAAAGACAATTTTCCAAGCAACGTACAATGCAGACTTATAAACCCGTCCAAAAGCAATATCGGGGTAATAAGCAAGAAAATACTAGATAGAATTAACAAAGAGCTACTGATAAAAACAAGAGTTAACCAGTGGAAAAACACCGTTTCGGCTATAAATTGGTTTAAAAAACTCTGTTTTTTGGCAAGCAGTATCAAATTTACAAATCTCTAGAGCTTAACAGTAAGTTAAAATTTTTTGTCATTATTTAAAATTAAGCTTTGAAAATGTAGAAAAGTTTAAAACTGAAAAGAACAGCAGACAACTTTTAATTCTATGCAAGAGTTTTGAGAAAGTTTGCCACAGAACACATCTGTGAATCTCTAGTGTTACGGAAAGATTAGTAATATACAGTTATGATAAAGCAATTTTAAGTTCATTCAATTCTACTGGCAATCAGCCTCATTTTCTCTTAAGTGTATCTTATTGTTTTAACCCAGTGTTTTGATTTTTGAGAACATTGTGTCTTGTTTTGAGAATTGGGATGACTGTATTGTTTTATCAGATGGGGCAAAACATTGCGTTGGATTGACGCTTAGTGTCAGCGACAGTTACTCAACTTCCCTACTTAATGAACTCTGCCAATAGTGAACACATTCAACACCGTAACTGAGCAGTTTTTGCGTCCAGCTGCTATATAAGCTGGACGTTTTCTACAGCGGTATGCAGTGCAGCATCAACACACTCCGACGACCACAGCTTGTAGCAACGACAGGTAGCTCGACAGAAGAGGTTCTCTCCAGCGCCTTGCACCGGCCTANTAACCATTTATTCGCTATTAAATTATTATTTATTTATTTTCTTCGTTCTTGTTGCTTTTATCACCGTCTCGTCATCAACACTTAGTATGCCATTCATGATGTAAGGGTTTGCGCCTGCTGCAAAAGATATGACCGTTCATTAATATGAGTTGAGTATTTAAGTGACTAGTTGTAATAAGAAAGTTTTGAAAATAGCAGTAGTACAGTTCAACTCTGTAAAATCTTCCATGAGTGCACAAGGCAGGATGCACTGCCACCCTTACCCCAGAACATCCATAATGTGGATGTCAATGGACAGTGGGCCCAATCCTGGCTTCAAGAACAGTTTCTTCTACACATTAATGAGGACCGGGGCATCTGCCTTTTTGCCACCCAAGAAAACATCAGAGTTTTGCAGCACTGTCAGAATATATATTCTGGATCTGACGTCCCATATGGGTGAATACCATGTTTTTTTTCTTCCCCTAGTTTTTACATTGATGAGCCAAAGAACTATAGGCCACTACTGCGAGGTATTCATGCAGACAATTGAAACAATGGGTACGCCACGTAACTAGACGTCGACTACGACTGACAACTGCTGTGTGCGCCTTTGATGCAGCTCTACACGCCGCCATAAAAAATTTTCATGAGAAACTGTGCCGCGGGAGAATGTTATTGAGGTGAACAATAATTTGTTTGACAATGTGGATGTATTAAACTTTAAAGCGAGGAGGAGGATGTGGCGATAGGCCTGACTGCCCGAGGTGGCATTTATTGACATACATGTGTGCACCATCCATCAACTTCAAGACATTATAATCATTCATGTACAAATGACTTTTAAGATAAACTGTAATATTGTTTATTCTTGTTTAGCTTGTTATATTATGTTCTAGTTCTGAAAATTGTTATGTGTT